TCTCAGCTTGCTCTTCTTCCCTAATCAAGTGGCAGCATATACTAACCTGGCTCTCTCGTTTGGCAGGATCACTTGCTAGTTGTACAGTAAGGGAATCTGGCAAGGCAGCTAGAGACATATCAAAGTACAATCTCATAAAGGAAGGCTTCGTTCTCCAGGAATTTTCTTAGCATAAGAATAGGAGAACTAGTGTGTTTCATGTTTGGTAACTCCAGGGTAGTCAATACTCAAAATATGTCATGCTGCCATAAAGTTATTTATTATATTATTATTATTATATTATTATTATATTATAAAAGTCACTGGTTATTATTTTGTATTTCCAGATTGATATGATTGATAGCCAGATTCATTTGAGTTCTACATAAAAATAAAATTACTAAGCAACCTTTACAAAATTAAATATTACATATTTTAGTTACTTGATCTTGTTTATAGACTACTCTTCTTGTTGCAAGCCACTTTAGCTTTCATTACATGAAACCCCTCTCTCCAGCTTCTTTGATCCCTTCTCAGTCTCTCTCCTTGGCTTCTCTTCTTTTACAGGCCATTTCTATTTTACTATTTCCTGGCTTATATTTTATGTCTTTTTGTTCTACATTCTTTCCATGAGTACATGTCTCCATTCTCATTGCTTCAGCTCATGTAGCAATCTCCCACCTCTCATCTGCCATCTCCCACCTCTCTCCTGTGTCCAGGATTCCTGCTCCCACCTTCTTTCTAGACATCATCATGCTGTGCCAACCAAGGCATCTCAAACTCAACATCAGAGATCTTACCTCTTCCTATCCCTTCCCAAGACATGTTATTCTTTCCTCAATTAATCCAACATTCATCTAATTTCCTTGGCTACAAATTTCATGCCTTGTTGATTTTTCCCACATATTGTCAACAAACAAATCCAGTAAACTACTCTACCCCCCCATAAGTCCATCTTTTTACTACCACTATCATTGCCTTAACTCCAGGCTTTATCATAGGTTTTTCAGGCAAATCACTCTATGTTTGTATATGTACATTCATCTCTCTTTTAGTTCCAATGCTATCCCTAGCTAAGACAATTCTTTTACAGCAACATTCAAAACCATTACTCTTTTTTTTCTGAATTTTGAAAAAATTTTGATTCAACTGCTTCTATAGCATTTTTTCTGTTGACTTACACTTTAAAATTTTGAATTCTTTAGTGATTTTTTTAAACATTATGTGCTTTTACTTAAACATGCCACTTCAACAAAAGTATTTGGAACATAAATACACTCAACCCAATATTTATGTTATGTTCAAGATAATATAGTAACCACTATAGTGAACAAAATGTTTAATAAAAATGTATTTAAGAGGGGCTTTACTTTTAAAGACTTTACAGCCTTCTAGAAAAGAGGCATGAATGTAAATAGTTATAAAACATGCTGGAATATGTAACTATTATAAAAGATATTCAGAAATAAAAGGTATCAGAATTATATTGAGGGAGAGCTTGCTTTCATTGAATGAATCAAAGCAGACTTCATGAAGGAGTCAGTATCTGAGAGAGAATTTCAAAGATGTAAACTTTGAACTATTTCCTCTTTTCATACACCTTATTGAACCTCACCTATGTATAGTTCAAGACACTGCACAAAGTGCTATGGATACAGAAATGAACAGAAGACAGACCTTGACTTCAAGTTACTCTCAGTCTAGTGAGGAACAAAGATACAATCAATTATAACCAAGTCAAGAGGAGTTATAGTGAAGATTTTCTAAAAAGGCTACAAACCTATAAGGAAAATGAAAAGATGAAGGAGAAAAACTAACTCCTCTTCAAAGGGAATGTCTCTAGGAAAAGGTGCTACTTGAGCTGAGCTTATAGTATTAAGTAGCCTAGACCAAAATGGGCATGGGTCTGGGGTAGAAAAGAAGCATTACACACGGAGGAATCAAGGGCTCAGGGATGGGAAGGTATGAAGTGTGAACTTTGGTGATAATTCAGGACAGCTGAAGAAAGGAGGTGCAAGGTGTGGATGGAAATTACACCTAGGTTAGGTTATAGAAAGGCTAAAATCCAAATTAAGAACTAAAGACATTTTTTTAGGAATAACAATAAATTATTACGACTAATTAATAATGCTAATTTACAGATAGACCAGAAAAATCACTTAATTAACTGCATTTCTTTTCTTTTTTTTCTTTTTAGGAAATGCTGGTTTAATCAAAAGTCAACAGTATTTTTCTCCTTTTAATCACAGGACTGATAATATACACTGTAAATCTCCAAGAAGAAAGGATATAATATACAGCATTTCCCACTGTCATCTGACTATTTAAATTTAATTAAGCATATTTATTTATTTATTTATTTATTTATTTAAGTTTTGCTTAACGTGCTCTTTGGAATTTAAATATGTTTTGCTAATCCTTTCGGGAGATGTAACCTAGAGAGAAGTCTCCTTTTGTGTATATGGAGAGGTAAGGACATTCACCAAATCCCTGGTGACATATTCCTCTCCTGTCCCTTCCTATAACTACAGTGCCTCTGATCCTCCTGCTCTAGGAACTACTTACTGTGTCCCTGTTCCTATAAGCATGTTAATTATAAGTGAACATTTGTTGATTAGTCACTATATGCCAGGCACAATTCTAAGAGCTTTCAACGTAATAACTCATGAATCACCATGGAACAATCCTTTGAGTAGGCATCCCATTTTATACTGTGAAAACCAGAGTCCAATTAATTAAGTAGGTGGTGGAGTCAGGATTTGAACCTGGGTGGCCTGGCTCTACTCTGAACCACAATACTGTGCTGTCACAGAACTGACTTGACAATGAACTTTCAGAAAACAACTTCTTTTTTTTTTTTTTTTTANTAAGCTGAGCCATCCTGCCACCTGTTGGTTGCTCAGCTTGGGCCAGGAATCGAACCGCTTGTTGCTCAGAGCTCAAACTCTTGAGTGAGCTCTTAACCAACTGAGTCACTCAGCCGGCCCAGAAAACAACTTCTTGATAAATCGGGAACTACTTGTAATTTGTGAACTCTTCAGGTTGCTAAACAAAGAAACAAAAAAAGTACCAATTTGACATTTGCTTAACTTCATGCATGGAATTAATTGCATTTCTAATTGAAAAACTGATGTTGGCATCAAATTATCCAATCATGGGATATTCTTTAGACTTTACATTAAACTTCTACTGACTAATTAAACTTCTCAGAGTACCTTCTCTGGTGCTCTGGACATTTCTCTTTAAATTTGTGGGTAACAATTATCTTATTTTTAATTCATCTTATTTTTATTTTATGATGATCTATTACTCATCACTCAAATGGATTATTATAGCAAATGGGAACAGGAGCTATGGCTATTCCCAAACATTTCAGAATCCAGTATTCCTTCATGCCTGGTAATTATCATTTTCAACCACTACTAATGAATTAGATTGAGTGTTGCCTTTTCACTTGGAGCTTTGATAACATGACGTATAACCTACTCCTAACTAATCTACATTGGCAAAAAGATCCCAAAGTGTGTGTTTAAGTCTCTAGTTTGACCTCTATATATTTGGTCCCATGAAAACAAAATAAATGGCAAACTCAGGGGAAGAAATATATCAATTGGGGTAAAGAAGAAATCAAAAATTCAAATACTGCTTCATTAAGAATATTTTTCTTTATATTTGGTATCATCATGCCTACATGTTCTTCTTCAAAGGGGCCACAAAAACTACCCTCCACTGACTTTGGAAACCCCCATATCTCCAACTTGGTTATTCCATCATCTTTCCTGAGATAAGAAAAAAAAATGTTTACGCCTATACCACTTAGAATATGTTTATATGATTAGAATATTTCTAATAACTGAGAATTAACTTCAAGAAGAAATCAAAGTTTTACTACAGTGAACCTGGGTGAGGGTACCACCATAAGAGTCTTCTATCACCAAAAAGGCAGCATGAGGAACTGGATGCTCAAAGGAGATATAAATACAGCATCAGGAAATCAGCATAGGCTGCAGAAATGAAGATGGGGTGGAACCAAAAATAAGATACCTACTTGTACAGTTTTGCATAAGATCTAGTAGCACCATAAGGCCAACTCACCAATAAAAGTATTCTCCCAACTACGCTGGGATGCTTGCAAAGGCCTGGTTTAGTAGATCCTAAACAGGACATCTTATTACTGACCCATGGTCATTGTCAAGGAGAGCTCCTCATCCACTATTTACTGCAAAGGCAGCCTTTGCATTCTTGACACTCTACCTACAACTTGTCAAAGTCATCCTATAATGTCATTACAAAAAATAGCCAGTCAATGACAAAATCTTCCTATTTTACTTCTCCTTCAAACCTTCCTATCTTTCTTACCTTGCCATTTCTTCCCTGCCATCATAGACATGGGTCTTCTCCTACTATATCAAAGGCTCTACATCTTAAATCTTGCTAAGTTTTGGAATAGGATCTTCTCCCCATTTTCACTGAGGCCAACCTGCCCTGATAGCTTTTAGGACCTTAGTACATATTTCCCTTAAGACACACGGAGTAATTATTTTACTTATGCACTCTTATTTTCTACTGTATCATTTTATTATTCTTTTACTAGTTTAAAAGCTATGTGTCTACATCTATTAATAAAATCCAGTTGATGTCTTCTCACTGGATGTTCTATTTATCATGTGCTTCTTGATGAACCCAGCTTATCAAGCACTCTGTCCTAAGAAACTCCCATTAACAACCTAACCAAGGATTGTTCAAAAGGAAGAGGTAATAGTCCCTGAAATACACTCCAGCTAAATGTTTTACATTTTCCCTTCAGCCAATTCACAGTATAATTGTATAATCCTTTGTCTTATGAATTTATTATCTATATTTACACTTTGATGATTTATGAGATTAAGATTTTGGTTTCTTAATATATTTTTCTTTAAGAGATGTTTTATGCCTTAAACAGGAAGGCCTTTACTGATAGCCTTGAACAAGGGGTATGTAAACAATATCTTTTTTTTTTTATAACAAGAAGAAAATCTTACCTGCCCATGCTTTTGCTGAGGAGCCATCCCATGAGGCATTTCAGGATAAAATGGGGCCTGAAGGTTTGCCCCCCGTGTTTTGGGACGCACCACATCAGAGACAAGACTGGAGGAGATTGGGAGAGACTTGGGCCGAGTAGCTGTGGTGCTTATGCCCCCTGGGGGGCTTTGTTCACTTTTTCTGCTTGTAGCTTCATCTTCCCCTTCAGAGTCCACAATAAAGACATATTCAGCTTTGAAGAGGTCACCTTGCTGCATTCCTTGAGGTTTGTTTGCTTTAAATCCCCTTCCTTGTGAAATATTTCCACTGACCTCTGAAGGATAAGCCAATGTTGCTCGACTTCTCTCCTGTTGGCTGCCAGTATTCAAGGTCAAGTACTCTTTGAAATTAGACTGCAATAAATGTAGAGAAATAAAAGCATTAGCATTCATTTAATAAATGCTTCTTTTTTTTCATGTACACTTAAAACCTCAACCTGCTTATAACATCCAAGGGCAAGAGTGCTTAAAAATATACTTAAAAATCAGGTTGGCTTAGGGAGATTGGGTTGAACTTAATGGTTTACTTTTACTAGCCCACCTGTTTATCCTGATCCAAAACCAAACAATGTAAGGCTCAGAGTATCAACAAACAAACCTGCATGCAAATAAATCATGACATAACTTTTTAAGAAGAGAGGGAGAGAGCAATGTTTTCCATGAAAACAGTCATGAAACAAATGAGGACTGGTAAGGATTTAGTCAACGGTCAAGGAAAACGTATATATTCTGTATAAGCCAATGGAGAAAGGAAATCACATTGAAAGGTTCTAAACTAATATAAACACTGTATTTAAAAGTCTGAGAGGAAAACTAAATTGGAACAAAATGCACAGATATTCAGATGAAACAATCTAAGCTAATTGGGAAGAACTCGTGAATAGAATCCCCAAAAATGATAGGTATTTTTAGTACAAAGTATTATTTACTATTATTTTATTTTTAATTTGTAATTCTAAGCCTTTTCCCATCCAACATTCTATGAATACATTAAGTTTACAAGCCCAGGAGTAAGATAGCTTATTACACTACCAAAACACTTTTTTTCTAAAATGACAGCAGCTATGTATGCTGATTGTTTTTAAAAGACCCAATATTAATTGTCTTGGTTTTGCTAACCATATAATGATTAGTATTCTTTTCTTTGCAACTTTTCTTTGAGACTAAAATTATTTCAAAATGAAATCCAGTCAAGGTGGCCAAGTAGGTAAATGCTCTTTCCATGACCACACCGAACTTACAACTAAATTATAGAACAACTGTCATTGAGAACCATCTGAAGAATAGCTGAACTAAAGTACTATAACTAAGAATATAAAGAAGACTGGTAAGAGGGACAGAGATAGGCAGATCCCACACCCAGGGTGTGGTGAATAAGAATCAGAGAGGCATTCTCAACTGCAGAGGTTCCCCCTGAGGAGCAAAATTTCCAGCCCCTCCCCAGGCTCCCCATCTGGGGGCTCCAGTGCCAGGAACAGGAACCCCCATAATATTTGGCTATGAAAGTCAAAAGGGATTATATCCAACTGAAATGGAGGGCTGATGGAGATGTAGGTGTTACAGGTCTTAAAGGAACGAGATATAGATTCACTCACAAACAAACTCACTCGCTCTGGGCTCCAACACAAAGGAAGCAGCTCGAAATGTGCCAGGGACATACGAAGAGAAACTAACTTGACTAGCATCAGGGCAAGAGTTGGAGGGTCAGGAGTCAGGACAGCTCTCTCCAGGGATGAAATTGCTGATAAGTGACATTGTTCCTCTGTTGACCCCTACCCCAACCCAGCCAGCCCAGCATAGGCAGGCACAAAATCTGAGCTCTCCTTTAACCTGGCTAATACAGCTAGTCCCATCCTGGTGATTTCCTGATACTATGTTCCACCCAATTCATGTCCCCAAGCAAAACTCTTCCAGTGGCTCCTCTACAGAAGCAGCCTTTCTTGTCTCACCATGTGGACTTTCCTAACATCTCATAAAGGTTCACAAACCCCAAACAAGCAGCAGCTAGCCTCAGTGTGCCCTATACCTCTTACTAAGCTACCTAAAGCCCACCACAAGGGGTAACCAGTCTCAACTTGAATTGTAACTCCCATCAGGTAGCCCCATGCCTGACATAACCAGCAACCAAGTGGCTTGGAAGATAAGTTCAATTAAATGGCCACAAACCAGGCACAAATGGCAGCTGGATTTAATTCACATCATGCTACCCACCAAAGGGTCTCAAGTCCAACACTAGTGAAAGCCGCCTCAGCTTACAGAATACCCTCTCCCAAGTACCTTCAAGCCCAAAACAAGTGGAAATCAGCTACAGATCACTTTGTAGCTCCTACATGATGGCCCCCAAGCCAGGCACAAGTGGTGGCTAACCCCGACCTGCATGGGAGCCCCTCTCAAGAGGCTCCAGAACCAATATATCTGATGGATGGCTTTAGAGCACACATGCAACACCCAACTAGTTCCACAAATGGCACAACCAAAGGACAGACTTGGCTGGCACTAGAGCCCTGCTAAAGTGACTCCCATTCTATGGGGTCAGCCCTTTCACTACAGATCACCTACTATAATTATGGCCAGCACTCACAGCCAGTAATTCTGAGAGTCAATCCCACCAACTGATGTGCCAATAGCAATCAAGGATCAACTACAACATGAGGGCATACACAAACCATACAAGTGACCCTGTGGAACACACAGCTCAGGTGACTGGGGAGACTGAACCATTGGGCTGCATAGGTCACCTATTACATAAGGCCACTCTGCCAAGACCAGGAGACATAGCAGATCTACCTTATTCATAGAAACAGTCAGCCAAAGTGAAGAGACAAAGAAACATATTCCAAATGAAAGAATAGGACAAAACTGCAGAAAAAGAACTAAAGGGAGTGAAGACAAGCAATGTAGGAGATGCAGAGTTCAAAACACTGGTTATAAGTTTGCTCAGTGAACTTCAAGGAAGAATAGATGAACTCAGTGAAAACTTCAACAAGAGATAGGAATCATAAAAATGGAGAACAAAAACATGAAAAAGAATCTGTCAGAATGAAGAATACAATAACTAAAATGCAGAAAACATTACATGCAATCAACAGCAGATTAGATGAAGCAGAGGATCAAATCAGTGATCTGGAAGACAAGGTAGTGGAAAACACCCAGTTGGAAGAGAAAAATGGAAAAAAAAATTTTTTTAAGTGAGGAAAGTTTAAGGGAACTCTGGAACATCAAACATGTCAACATTCACATCATAGGGGTACAAGAAGACGAAGAGTGAGCAAGGGGTTGAAAACCTATTTGAAGAAATAATAACTAAAAATTTCCCTAACCAAGTAAAGGCTATAGATATACAAATCCAGGAAGTGCAAGAGAATCCCAAATAGGATGAGCAAAAGAGGTCCACATGAAGACATAACATAATTAAAATAAGGGTTAAAGACAAAGAGAGAATCTTAAAAGTAGCAAGAGAAAAGCAGTTAGTTATATACAAAGGTGCTCCCATAAGACTGTCCGCTGATTTCTTAACAGATACATTTAGGCCAGAAGAGAATGGCAAACAATATTCAAAGTGATGGGAGGCAAATATCCACAAGGAGGATTCCTCTACCCAACAGGGTAGAAACAAAGAAGAGACAGTGTTTCCTGGACAATAAAAGCTAAAGATCTCAATCACTGCTAAACCAGTATTACCACAAGAAATGTTAAAGGGACTTCTTTAAGTGGAAAAGAAAAGACCAATAATGTGAATAAGAAAATAGAGGAAAGAAAAAATTCTTACTGACATGGCAAATGCTTTGTAAAAGCAGTGGATCAACCAACTAAAAGCTAGTACAAAGGTTAAAACACAAAAGTAGAAAGATCGTGTGTAATTACAACAATAAGATAAAGGATACACATAAACACACATAAAAAAGACGTAAAAAATAATGACAAAAACATAAATGTGAAGCGGGTGAGTAAAAATAGTAGTGATTTTAGAATGTGTTCAAACTGAAGGGACCATCAATTTAAAATAGGCTGCTATAAACATAGCTTGGTATATAAGAAGTGTATGGTAACCACAAACCAAAAATCTACAAGAGATATACAAGAAATAAAGAAAAATGAATCTAAACATAACACTATAGAAAGCCATCAACATACAGAGAGAACAAGACAATAAGAAAGGAAGAGAAGAACTACAAAAAACATCAGAAAACAATTAAAATGATAACTACATGCATTTCAATAATTACTTTAAGTGTATTTGGACTAAATGCTCTAATCAAAAGATATAGGGTGGCTGAATGGATTCTTTTTAAAAAAAGATCCATATATATGCTGCCTATGAGACCCACTTTAAATAGAAACACATAGAGACTGAAAGTAAAGGGATGAAAATAGATATTTCATGCAAACAGAAACAAAAATAAAGGTAAGGTAGCAATACTTGAACCAGAAAAATATTATACTTTAAAATAAAGGCTATAAGGGCCGGCTGAGTGGCTCAGTTGGTTAAGAGCTCGCTCAAGAGTTTGAGCTCTGAGCAACAGNGAGCTGAGCAGCCGCTGAGCTGCCAACAGGTAGCAGGATGGCTCAGCTAAAACAAATAAAATAAAATAAAATAAAATAAAATAAAGGCTATAAGAAGAGACAGAGAGGGCATTTCATAATGAAAAAGGGACCAATCCAACAGGAGGATATAGCTCATATAAACTTCTATGCACCCAACAAAGGAGCACCTTAATATATAAAACAAATATTGACAGACATCAAGGGAGAGTTCCACAGTAATACAGTAATAATAGGGAATTTTACACCCCATTGACATCAATGAATAGATCATCCTGCAAGAAAATCAGCAAGAAAACATTGGCCTTAAATGATATATTGGACCAAATGAATTTAATTGATATTTTTAGAATATTTCACCCCAAAGCAGCAGAATACACTTTCTTTTCAAGCATGCATGGCATATATTCCAGGATAGACCTCATGAGGCCACAATAAAAGTCTCAATAAAGTTAAGAAAGTTGAAGACATATGAAGCATCTTTTTTTATCACAATGGTATAAAACAAGAAATCAATTTTTTAAAAAACTGAAAAACATACAAATACATGGAGACTAAACAACATGTTACTAAACAATGAATGGGTTAACAATGAGACCAAGGAAGAAATCAAAAGATACCTTGAGACAAATGAAAATGAAAACAAATGACCCACAATATATGGGATATACCCAAAGCAGTTCTAAAAGGGAAATTTATAGCAATACAGGATGACCTCAAAAAACAAGAAAAAATTCTATTAAACCATCTATCTTTATATCTAAAGGAACTAGAAAAAGAACAACAAACAAAGCCCAAAGTGAGCAGAAGAA